GACATTGATCTCTGCTATAATTCTGTTAAAAGTATTTCCGACTCATATTTTCTGTTGTAAATACACTACAGGTCCGACTGTCTCTGTACCTGAGATATAGACTGTAGGGCGAAAGTGAATCTACTTCTGATTGAAATGAATCTGCCCAACTTGCCTTTCCAAGTTTCTAATCACAGCACGATCCGTTTATTTACACCCAAGAACTCTCTTATTGCCCACTGACATCAGAAACCTTTAACCATTGTTTTCTTTGGATTGGATATAACACTTTGGAATCCCCAGGGCAAGTGAACATACCATGTTTCGGAAAGGGGGATGGAAAAACAGAGAGTAAAAAGGAGGGCAAATATAATGGTATGAGTTTTGAAAGGATTTACCACAAAGAGACTATAAGGAGACAGATGATTGGCAGTTGGCCGATTCTCTGAGCATTGCTCCAACCTCCTCCCATCTGGGTTAAGAGTTGGCAAATCATTATTGAGGTTAAGAAAATCAGAATTGGAAGAGACATGGACCTCTTTTTCCACTAAAATAGCTCAAAGCTTTTGGGAGAATTTGAATCAAACTTTATATAAAAATATTATGAAAACACCTTTAACAAGAAAAAAGTCACACAATAAACCTTAAACAAAAAGTTGATGAAGTTGTAAATTGTTCACATTGGCCAAAGAATGACATCAGCATGGAAATGGTGGTGGCTGTGTGGGTGCTCTAGATATCCTCTTCGGGTGTTCTAGATATCCTCTGCTGAGTGAAAAGCAAGTTTCTTTAAACCTATAACAAATATTTGAGTCCTTTAAGAAATCAAATATTTTATAAATAGTCTACAGGGTACATGACTGTAGTTCTTCCCAAGTAAAACACTTGAGCACAGTAAGCTTTCTAAGAGTCTGGGTTGGCTGAACATTGATAAACATCGTGTGTTGATTCCAAAAACTGGGCTGCAATGACTTACAAAAAATAATTCCAAAAATTGACGTTGGAAACACTGCAAAGCTCAAGAGCAGGCTTTCAATGTGTTGCTTCTTCTGCCAGGATTTCTCAACAGAACTAAGAATAATCATGCTAGGCTGCATTAAGATGGTGGCATAAATATCACTTTAAATTTGATTAAAATTGAAAAAAGTTGTAATAAACAGATACAGTGGCTCTTTTTTGACATAAAGACTGCATTTAAAGACCAAAAGCAGGGAAAGAGGAAATGATTTCTCAAATTTAATGTTTTAACAGAAGTTCTTTGAAGCAATATTCATAGAATAAAGTAACGGGGGCAACTTAACATTCTAAACAATAAAATTTCCTCAAAACATTGCTGTAAAAAGAGGACTATACAGTAGATATAACTATAAACATTTCATGACTGGCTGATACAAGATAACTTTGATGTAAAATAACACAATGATCCTTTAAAGGACCATTTCTGTGTGATTACTATAACTAATTCAGCTTATTAAGTGCATAAGCAAGGTTCTGCCCATATGCTACTTTTTCAATGATTGTAAGAGGCAGGATAGTTACAGTTGGAACCACAGAAATACAACTGATCAACCTAAATAGAAGACTGTCATTGAGTTGCTAAGCCAGTTCCAGTCATCTTGTGACACCCCCATTTTGGGCTTAATCAGGACTATGTGTAACCAAGAAAAGAACAGTTACACATCCAATCCCAGAATAAGAGAACCTCCTTGATATTGCACTGCAGGATATTCCAAGTGCCTTTTGCTTATTGCAGTACATGCTGTGCTCCTTGGCCCCAGCCAGCAGAAGGTGGGGTGCTGCCAGGAGAGAGCCCTCAGACAACAGCTCCCTCTGGTGTTTCAGTGATAACAAACGCCAGTAGTAGAGTGCCGTAGTTGTCCACCACTGGCCTAGACCACTGACCTCAGTTGAGGATGACTCTGAGGGTCATCCCAGCTTCAGAACACCTGAGGCCTTCAGGAGAAACGATTGAGTCCCAGTGTAACTGTTCTGCTGCCAAGCTCTTTAGCAGCTTCCTTTCCACAAGTGTTGACCCTAAGAGCATTGCCTAATAAATCCCCTGCATGTTAATCTCCATGACACTGTCTGCTTTCTGGGACCTCAACCCACAACAATTAGCAATTGAAGGTTTCTGAACAACTGAATTTGTGGAGAACTAAGAACCAACTCAGGACACTGGAGCCAAGTTGTGGTACAAAGTGCAAGACTGACCAAAAATGACCTTAACTTTTGTTCCTGATCAGTGAGCTATCTGAGACAGCCCCAACCCTTTCTCCGCCATGGGATGGATGTGTTGTATTACCTGTGTATAGAGTCAGCCATCATACCCCAAGGCCCTAAAATCTCCAGGGTTTAGCAGCATGTAATCCTATCAAATCCTACAAACAGCTGAAATCCCAAACCAGGTGGTTGAGCTCAAATGTGGTCTAATTATCCCTTCTGACAAGGCCACTTTCTGAAACTGACCCTACAAAAAGCGGAACAGCAGAAAGAGCAAGTTCTCTGCACTGGAACAGAAGTTCTGCTTCCCCTGTGATCTTCTGCAAGTTCTGCAGCCACCTAGCCTGCTCAGGACTCTACAGAGTACATGCAAGGAAGGAGGAGCACGGCTTTCCTTCTCTCACTGATTCTGGCTCTCAGTAGGTATCCCCTTTTCTACTAAAATCACTCAGAAATATTGTGAAATTTCTCTTGAGCCTTTGTATCTAGCAAAGGAGACTTTATGGGACTCTCTCTGTACAATACTGGTGACTATAGAGGGATTAATTCTGCTTGGTTCCTATTATGTTTGTTTTCAACATATCAGAGGGGTTTAGAGTTATATGGAGATGAACACAACTTCTGTGATAAAGAAAGGTCCCTGGCAGAGCAGATGGGGGTGGACCATGGAGTCCATGGGGTCCCCAGTGTCAGAGAGAGGAAACCCTGGTGTAATTAGTTGCCAGAACTGACTGCTCACTGTGTGGCAAGATCAAACTGTCTCAGTAGTCCCAAAAACTTCTTCAGTGTGATCAAGCCAACATTCTTAAACATCAAAATGGGGGAATCTATATTCACGAGGGAGAAGCTATACTGCAGCCCAGTTTCTCTGGGATCATTGGCTTCCTCACTCTAGTAGGAGGATCTCTATCTTTCTAAGAACTCTAGGGCCTGGGCAGACAAGGATGGCAGAAAGAGCTGCACTCTAACCAGACAGCCTGGCTCCAGAATGTCCTAATGCTTTCCCACAGTCAAGGGGGCTTATCTTGCCTTATAAAAGGACCATATAATTAGGAGCCCCAGCCCTCACTGCTCTGGGAGATGAAGGGTAGATATACTTTTTCTCCTCTCAGACTCTGGCCTTGTACATCCCCCCTTCTCTTTTAATTGGAGATACAGGACATTGTGGAATTCGTCTTGGACCCTGGAACATGCCAAGTGAAGGTCTGTATGGAACCCACCTTCTCCCACCAAATGTCATCTGATATTTCTCAGGAGAATATCTTGCATTTCTGTATAGCTTTATTTTTAAAAACACATTCATGTGTATTAACTCAGTACATATACATCATCCCAGTGAGGTTAGCTAGGGACATACATAAGGAATATTAAAACATAGGGTCATATAAAACAATCTCATAAAGGCATAAAAGTCGAATCACAAAAAATAATGGGATCACATGAAGCTTGTGCAGAAATTCCCAGATATATGGTCAGCATAATTATGGGGCATAATCTTGAAGTATGCTTTGAAACTCCCTTTGATACAAGCTGTAAGGAAAGAGATAAGATCTCCAGAGGCTGAGGTGAGAGGAGATTGGAAAAAAGGCTTTACAGCTGAGAGAAAGTGACTGATAGTCAAGTGTATTCAAGGTCATGATCAGGATTTTAAGCCAAGATGGGATTCCCCATGCAAATGCAACTCTACAAATGTGCCTCCAATGCCCTGCAAGATGGGACCTCCCAATTTGACATTCCTACTCTTCTTCTGAAAGGTCAGCTCTACCTCTTCTCCTGTGAGAAATGGGACAGAATTTCATTAAAATAAGATCCAGTTGACATAAAATGTGTGACCCTTCAGGTGCTAGATATTTGCTGGGGACTAACTATGAACAGGCCATAGTATAAGAAACTGACTACCAATTGTTTATGTTACGGGAGTGTATTGGGTGACTGAACCTGTGCACTCTGAAGAACATGAGGAATGACTGCTTCGTCTGAGTATTATCCAGGGTCCATATTTTGCTATATACATAGCTGTACATAACTGCCTTTTATTGGGGGGAGTCACTGTATTGAATCAATCTACCAACTGAATTAAAAGGAATATAAGTTTTTATCTATTCTGATTCTGAATCTCCCCACCCTACGGCCTTATTGTTGCACTGTGATAATATGTCACTAAGAAGCTAAGCAGCATTACCTCCCACAGTCTCACTCATCCTTTAAAAGTACAAGGATCCCTAGAGATAGGCTACCCTAACCTCCACATGCCAGAAAAACTCCTTCTCCAAAGTACTGAAAACTAGTCATACAAACAGGAGGAGCAGAGTTTTATTTGCTTCCTTTGTGTGCATTAAAGTGATCTACTTCAGCACAAATACTGCAGTATCCGGTGCTCTGGGAAACAATAATCTTCTGGGTGCATTTCTGGGGCACAAAAATGCTTCTGGAAACCCTGGAAAACCCCCATGCCACCTCCATGTATAACATGTTCATAAAGCAGATGTTTCCTAGTTTTAATTTTTGTGAACTCTCAGATGGGTTAAGCCAAACATCTCCAAGCTTTATTCATTACTGCTACTGTAGGTAATTTGTGCCCATGGTAACAGTAATTTAGAGTTATTAATGAAAATGAAGGCTAATTAAAAAACAACACAAACATCCAAACCAAGGCAAGGTAAAAATATGAAGCACTCACAGACTAATTTTATCCAAGTTTTCTTTTTTTCCATTCTAAAGGACAAATATTACTTTGGTTACAACAATAAGAAAAAAGTAAATTGTCAGACAGTTTGGTGTTGGACATGCTTTGAACATACCTGCAAACCTTCAATGGCCAGTTTAAGGATTGAAGGTGTCAGTTTGGAAGCTTGTTTGAAGGAAAAATTACTCCAGTCTATAATTAAAATGAAGCCATTTATCTGAAGCTCCGGATCTTCAATAAGGACTTCCAGGGACAGTAGGATGGCACGGAGAATGTCTGTGAAGGAGTTCCTGTGGCGAAAGCAGAAAGGAAGTCATGTGTGAATAGAAGCAGGTGATGGACAGCGCATGACAGACGGATTCCACACTGTGTGCAGCAAAGCTGTTCTCCTCATATTGCTGCTCCATGAGCCCAGCCTGCAGACTCATATTGGTTTCTGTACCCAGAATGACTAAAAATACATTACAAAACTTCCTAGGAAGATGATTTTAGACTCCCAGAATGGATGCTTCCTTTTTTATCTGACTCCACCAGCACCCCAAATTTAGTGAGGTGTCACTCTTCTGCTCTCTCATGGCTCTCTGTACTATGCTTCCATGATAGCATTGACTGCACTTTGCTGAAATATATCCCTTACTTGTGGCTCTCCCTCACAGAGCTGTGACATCCTTACAGGCAGGAACTGGGTCATATCCACATAGCATCTCCAGTACCTAGGTGCTCAATGAATCAATGCTGAACAAATGAGGTGAGACCTTAATCAGAGGCACTTATTTTGTTTAACATCTATTATGCATTTTTTATGTTTCAAATTTTGCTCTGAGTGTAAAAATATTCTTGCAATTGATGCTATTTTTTAGCTTTGATTCATGGATAGAGAAAAAATAAAGCAGGAAGAATAGCTTATTTTCACTCCACTAGGTCTGTGGAGTGTGATTCAAGAGGGAAATCACTTTGAGTACATCAGTAACTATGACAACAGGCAGACCTGAATACAAACTAGGTTGACAGTTCTCCAGTGTCATGCGTATTCCTCTACATCATATATTCCCACTCACCAGTTGATTTTTGTTTTCAATAATCTCCAAACATGAAGAAATGAAGGCACATTAACTGGACTATTTCACCCAGCAAATTTTCTCTGCTACAAATCTAAGATCTCTGAAAATCTCTAATTTCAGTGTCCTTCTTTGATGAGTAGGAAATACAAGCTTGGATGTCAAGTGACAGCAAAATCTACTACTCCCTCCAGGTTTTCATTAAAATCGGGAGCCTAGTCTTATGAAATCAGTTGTCAAATGATCAGATTCCTGAGAAGTCCAATCTAGTTTTGAATTCTAACCAAGTCAGAAAATCTGTGATTGAACGATAAGCTAGTAAGAATTTACTAAATGCCTGTTATAAGCTCAGTACTTTGTTTCATGCCTGAAATTATGAATTAGCATTAATTTAGCTGGGAAGGGGTGGAGATTCGTAACATGAGTTGAGAAGGACTGACAGAATTTGAGTCGCCAGGGAAGAGTTTATGGAGGGAAGAAGGCTTGGTGTCAGTTGTAAAAAGTGGATAGGATTTTGATGGATAATTGGGAAAATGGGGACTCAGACCTTCCAGGAGAGCAAAGTGACATTTAATTTTAAAAAGACGTATACAAACCATTTTGTTTCTGCTCAGTTCCTCTTGCTAATTTTCCCCTTATATCAAACTAAAATTTACTCCCCCAAAATCCACTGGAGTTGGTTCTGCTACATGGAAAAAACAACTCAGATTTTCCCACATCATACACTTTCAAATATGTAAATATAGTTAGCACGATAGTCTTCTTTCAGATATATTCCTTTTTAATTTTTTGAGATATGATATGGAAAATTTTCACTAGAGGTTTGTTTTTACCTTTGGATTTATGCCATTTATCAAAAAGCCCCAGTCTCTTTCAGATATACACCTTTTATTAGAACAAACATTGATTTAAATGGAACACATGACCAAACATTATGCGCTTAGGTAATTTCAAATGAAAATCCCCAATGGGAAACTGAAATTAACCATTTGGGCACCAAGAAGTCTGGCTAGATAATCTTTCTTAGGAAGATCACACTTGTGGAGACAATCAAGACTGAAAGACTGAATCTAAGGTGAAGCCTACATACAGTATTGAAGTGAAACGAAGAAGAATTAAAGAAATAAAAAATGAGAGGTTCAAGACAGTATTGTGTTTTTTAAAAAGAGAGAATGTTTCAGGAAGCAAGAATATGATACATTTCATTACTGCACTATTAGTCCCAGTTCTTAACCCCTGCGGCCATACATTGACTATGGCCTCATTGAAGATACAGTCCTTTGTCTGTATAACTTGCTCTGACTAATGGCAGTGACCCCAGCCAGCTAGAAGATTCCCATAAAAAGCAGAGCCACCTACCTTAACCCAGCCTGGATAAACTCCATCTGCTCCACAGACGCATGAACAATAATAAATGATTGGTTTTCAAATCACTGTGTTTTTGGATAGTTTGTTACACAGCAATAGCTATAGAGGGATAGAGGCTATTTAACATCAAATGCAGAAGAAAGATCAAGGAGAATAAGGAAGGAGACTATTGTACTGACAAGAAGGTCTTTGGAGAGGTTAAAGAGTGCTTTTAGTTAAATAGTGAAGATAGAGGTAATTAATTATGAACACCTTTAGCAAATCACTTACACTCTACCTCATTTTTTCTCCTCTAAATAGAGATAATATCATTCCCATCACATGCCCCCCCCCAAAGACATTGAATTTTGTCTAGAATCCTGGAAAGGATTCTGTGGATTTTGGAGACCAAAAGACAGACTAGGCATTGGCCGTGAAGGAAGTATGTTACATTCATGAGATGATCCCAGGAGTAAAGTAAAAAGATTGTGGACATTTGATAGTTTCCAAATGTTCAAATGCTTTACTTTTCCAGAGGAACTGGGTGGGCAGGAAAAAGGGAGTATAATATGTCTCTGTAACATGAGGCTTTACTTGTTCCTAGAAATGTGACCCTACCTTTTACCCTAACTACAATTTTTCTCTTCGTTTTCTTAGGCCTTGGCTTCCTCAGATGAACTTTTGTATCATTTCCTACTTTCCTATTCACAATATGTTTTACTTGTGCAAACCTCCCAGCTTTTCAACTTTTAAAGTATCTATTAGACTAAACAATTTACATAGGTAAACCACCCTCAATGACATAGAACAAAACTCCCTACACCTTCAGTATGAGCTGAGGGTAGTGACTTCTATAGATGGAAAGGTGAAAAAAGAGTAACTTATAGCAGAAAAACCTGATGACCTCTACCTGAGCCAGGTGACCAAGTTCAGCCTCACCAGGAATAAATCATGTTGACAGTATTTACTCTTGCTATGGTGATGAAAATGACATTTTACTTTTGGGACTTTCTTCCACCAAAATGTTAATGCCAGATTAATCATGAGGGATACATTAGGCAAATTCCAGTTGAGGGACATTCTACAAAATACTTGACCATTAGTCCTCATAATTATCAAGGTTTTAAAAGAACAAGAGAAGTCTGAGAAATTGTCACTGCTAACAGGAGTCTGAGGAAAGATGGAGATTAAATGTAATGTGGTCTCTTGAATAGGATCCTGAGACAGAAAAAGGAGATAGGTATGGATGTTAGTGAATAGTTATATATTAGTATTGGTTCATTAATTGTAATAAATATATGAATGTACGATGGTAATAATAAGGAAAACTAGATGTAGCATATAGAGTCAATCTCTGTTCTATCTTCATAATAATTCTGTAAATATAAAACTGTTGTAAATAAAAGTTAATTTAAAAAATAAAAAGGTCCATTAGACTCTGTAATCTGCCATTATAAGTCTCCATATTCTAACTAAGTTGCTAAGCAAACCAAAGTTATCACAAACAATTCAACTACTTCCTGAAAATTGTAAAATGAGAAGAAAAGATCTTTCAGGAATTCTTTCACCTATAAATTTTCAAGGGAAGTGATTGGGCTTGATATCCTGCCTTTGCCCTTTACGACGAATGCAACCACTCAGAAAAGACTGAAGTTCTTCCAGTGGCAACTTCCTGTTCTTTCATGTGGAGATTATTTCAAGCATTGTGCAAAACAAAATATGCAATAGGCTCTATGAATTGGGAAGCACATTCCAAGAGGAGTCAGCATTTGTACCTGCATAAGTTGTAGGGATATAATGCTTGGTCACACTGGTTTTATGGTGGTGATGGTAGCAGAACAATGGGAAGTGTGCAAAATTCAACTGGATTATGTTGAAGTGAACCTGTTTTTTCTTCTAGACTTCAGGATCTTTGAAAAATATTCTGGGATGGGAATTCAGCACATATATTTTCTTAAATGGATTTTAATAATGCCTATATGATTTGAGTTTTAGCTGGACAATGCCTCTGATCTGTGTGCCATTATGCTTCTAGATAAATTAATTTCCTTATTTCTCAATGGTATAATGCATACAAAAAAGAAAAGTTTGTACTCTGAAAATATTAGATTTAAGGAAGATACTAATAAGAAATGTTTGACTTTGCAGTAATAGAACCAATATTAACAAGAGATTAATCTTAAATTTACTACCCTGATTCTTAGCTAGAAAGTCAAATTACACAACCTTTTTTCAACAAGTATAATCACCTAGAGAAAAAAATCCCAGATTTAACTCTACTTCACCAAATTTGATGAGAGGAGAAAGTAACAAAGAGAGAAAGAGAGAGGGGGTGGTAAGAAAGCAAGGAATGAATGTAAGAAAGAAAAAGAGAGGAAGAGAGGGAGGGAGGGAGGAAGAAAGGAAGGAGAAAAAATAAAAGAAAAAAGAAAAAGGAAGCTCTCGCAAGTACATCCCTTTTAATTCCACCTTATCCTGGTAAGTAAAGAAAACTTAGAATTCTGTTAGCATAAGAAAACAATCACATATAATAGCAGAATAATGAGTTACCTATGGACATCAGAAGCTGTAGTGTGAGAATACCTGTTCTTCCAAGCCTCAGCCTCAGATGGACTGAATACCACGTTGAATGCTATTCAACATCTGATAACACACAAGGCCAGGTTGTTGTTTACAGAGTTTCAGATTAAGACAAACCTACAGTGTTCCCCTGCTTTCTAAATTTTTGGATCATATCAAATCACAGAAGCTTAACTAATTGTGAGTATTTCACAAAAACATTCAAATGTTTGCCTATCTCTATCAAGTATGAGAACAATCCTCTACTGCAACGCAATCATTGCATATGGAGGACAAAACACCAAATACAGTGTCCTTGTCTAAGA